GGCAAAGGAGAGCTTGGCATCTCTGGGAGGTCTACCCAAAATCGTTAAGTGTTCAAAGCAGTTGGGTTCCTTAGGAACTTCGGGTAGACTGGCTAGCTGGGCTTTCCCTAAAAAGAATCCGCTTGGACAAAGTATTTCTATTCCCAAGTCATTACTTCGCATCAATAACATGAACATCTTTAGGTAAATTGGAGAAAATACAGCACGGAAAGGAATTAGTGAAAATGACAGGAAGAAAAAATATTAAGGAGAACAACAAGGAGTAAAAATAGATTACGAGAAATATTGTCCCTAAATAATTTCCATTCAAAACTACCCAGCAAAGAGCAGATGCCTGGGCACACACCATCGCTTGTCCTTCAGATTGTTGGTGCCCAACATTACAGCTTAGTCCCACACAGCACAGAGAAACTTCGTTCTGAGCCTGCAAAGCAGCTGGACAGATACTCATTTTTCAGCACGTGAGCACTTCCAATGAAGTCAAGCTTCTTGTGACTTTCAGAAATCTGCGTTGGATGAGCACCAAGGAATAGTACAGCTAATTTCAAATGCCCAGAGAGCATGATTCAGGTCTCAAAAATATTTTTAAACATTAAAGTCCTTCCTCCCAGTTACAAAATAATTACCTTGGCTCTGGTTTCTTAAAGTCATGAAACCACCAGCAAAATCCTCACTCAAGTCACTTAGTTAAATTTTTGGTAGTCTTTGCACAAATAAAGAGGGTTTGAAGGTTGAAAGGTTTGAAAAGCGAGTATCAAGATTTCTGCATAGCCACTTTTGTCTCCAACAGCTGGTGCCATAAGGAAAAAATCCACATCTAAAGACCCATCATAAAAGCGTGAAAAGTGTTAAATCTGAATGCACTCTGCACCTTGCTTGTTTGAACCTTGAGGACATCTGTTTCTCATCACTTCCCTCCCACAATGACTTACTCACCCGAAAGGGTAAGGATAACCCACCCCCTTTGTGGTGGGAATCTTTTTGCAACAGGACAAGAACAGTGCGAGAACTGAATGCAGTGCAGATTGCAGTCCAGAAAATTTTAAGCCTATCTGGATTAAGAAAATCTCCTTTGCTTTTATTGTATTCCTCATATTAATTTTGGACCTCATGCTGTCTGCAGTTGCTGCTCACATGACTTAAAATATAGGTGTAAACAACTTAATTTCACTTTCTTAGTCACCAATAACTCCTCTCTATTGTAAACAGTTGCTGAAGCTGCACTGGGAGCTGATCAGTTTTCTAAGCTACAACATGCAAAGCTGAAGCGGGGTACAAGTGCTAGGGAAATAGAAGCCTGCCTGGAAAACTGTGCTCCTGCTACAAACTTATGGGAACCAGTTCCTGACTCTCCCATATCTGAATTAAAAGGTCTTTCATAAAGACATTTATCTAACATTTTTGAACAGGTCTCTTTATTCATCCTTGAGTTCAGAATAAAAGCAATCAGATAAAAATACATAGGCTACATGCCAAAACTGAAGTAGTAATTCATTGGCCTTGAAGTACAGTTTTTACTGGAATCATTATCAAGACAAGGACCATGTGTCATCATAACTGAAAGACAGTTTTTAAAATAGGCTTTTCATAACAGGTTCCATGTTTCTTCCTCAATTATCAGTTCATAAATCTATAATTTCTTGGATGGTAGCAGATGGGTGAAGGTCACCAAATAATACCTCATAAAATTAGTGTAATGTAGCAAATTAGCAAGACTCTGAAGTAATTCTTTCCACACTGCACTGGTTTCTCCAAACTTTTCCCCCTTTTGCAAAGGGCCAACAGAAATATATCACCCCTCCTCCTAAATTCCCATTCAGCTGCCAAAATGGGTTTTCTGCAAATATACTTGGATTTATTTTCCTTGTGGATTAAATAAGTAACAATGATATCCTCCACTTACATATTGACATATTGCCTTCCTAAGTTTGAAGCAGTCAAAAGTAATGCAGTCATTTTTGGGGGTGAGTAGTGGTGGGAGAGGAGAACATTAATTCACAGGAATTACCAGGAAAAGCCAATATCTGAAACCACCTGATTTTCCACTAGCAAGCCTTGCTCTCCTGCAAAGATTAGAATATAGGGAACCCTGAGCAACCCCCTTTGATTTCTATCAAACAAAACTGCAACACACCCCAGGTTCCTCACCGAGCACAGCTTGAGTTTCCATTGGATAGACAGGAAGCAACACTTCAAAAAATAGCAAGTGAGAATTTTGAGTCCTTATTCTGACAACTGCTTATATGCAGTTTATTAAAGGAAGCCTTTCCTCATTTTCAAACAGAAAAGGGTTTTCATCCTAAAATAAATAGAAAATTCTGCTTTGCAATAAAGATCAAAACAAAAAGTGACCAAGGGCAAGTGTGCCATATTCCTACCCGCTTCCAAATTGACAGCCTTTCATTCAGCATAATTCACCATAACACCATTTTTTTTTCATAAAATAGAACATGCAATGTCTGGTTTTAATATCCTAACCATATACGAAACTCTCTCTCTCTTTTCCCGGCTTTAGTCTCACTTTTTTTTTTCTCTCTAGTAAACAAAGCAATTTCCAGCTGTCCTTACTAGACATCTCCTGTTATTTGTCGCCCATTTTCAAATTATAGCCACAATGATTCTGACTTCAGGGCTGAGAAGATATACAGGAATTATAGAGAAGAATAATTTTATCTAATCTTCAGAAATATAGTATGAGGGTTTTAGTTAAACACAACAAAACAATCATCTTTTGGACAGAATTCAAATATCAACAATTTAAATTCAGAAGTGAAATTTCTAGATTTTTTTGAATTACTGAAGACAGTTACTGTTAGAGCAGAAGTCTGTTAGAGCAGAAGCAGCTACGTTACATTAACCATAGCAGACATTGTCTTGATAATAGTGGTGTTTTAATGGATATTAAATTGACACAATACAGATGCACCAAAATAAAATTCAAGTATACAGGCTGTGCTTGCATGGACTGTGCCCCTAAACGATTTAAATTTATCAAAGATGGACTGTCAAAAACTGGAATTAATAAATGAAAGCTGCTGCTGTCTTGTGCTCCTGAGTTCTGGTCCAGGAAAGCTAACAGTTTCTTTTTCTTCCTTTACCTTCCTTTATTTCCTTTAACTCCTTCCTCCCCTATAATTGCATTTAATCAGCACACAAAAAGCATTCTTGTTTAAAGGAAAAGCTGGTAGCTTTTCTGGAGCCTACGTGCCTGGGAAGCATCAAAATATTAGACTTGATATTCAAGGCAAAACTTATTGGTATTAGAGTTCAACAAATCAAAGCTCAACTTGAGACCAAACTTGACTCCCTTCTACTGCTTGAAACAGGTGAAATCACAGAGAACAACTGGCAAAATCTTTTCAGGACAGAGGTGAGAGTCACAATACAAAGATAAATGCTATGCTTAAGTTGAACAAATTAAATTAGTCTTAGACTAGACTTTAAGACATACTTAAAAGTTTTTCTGAATTACAACCTACATTCTGAAAAAACAACAGAATTAATCAGAACATTTTCCACTGAAAATTTGAGAATATGGACTTTTTTACTAAAAAATAAAAATTGTTTTTTTTCTTTTTTTTTTTAATAGAACAAAATAAATGAAATCTCTTCTTATACTGTGAAGAATATAATTCCTTCCACCCACTACACTTCCTCCTTCACTGCAGTAATGCAGCAATTTCCTGTTTACGACAGTGGTTAGTTGCCATTAAAATAATTGCAGCAATGTAGATTCACTACTTTTATACTTTACAAACTAGAAGTGAAAAACATTTTTAGACTACAAATGTTCCATCTCTACATCAGAAGGAAAAATACTATCAAAACGTGACAACTGAATAGCAAAGTGGATTTTTTAAAAAAAGCATTGTCTGAAGTATTTTCTTCTCTGACTTAAAATTCCTCTTTCAGAGAATATTTATGATTGTGAACACAACCAGCACTGACTCACAACAAATAACATCCCAGGACCCGGTGTTACCCAACTCGCAACAGCTGCCGCTTCAAATCTGCTCAGTCTTGTCTCTCTCCTCCCCCTTCTTTTGTTCTACTAACAACTCCTATAAGCTGAATGATCTTAGAATTAAGATGCTTCATTCACCAGTAATAAAAACTGCAAGTTTGTTAACCGCTTTAGCGATGATCCATAAGACAGAATTTTTTACTGCATTTCACATTAGGGTTAGTGTTCTCTTTAAGGACAACAAGGGACAGTTTGCTCCCCAAAGTTAGCTACCAGCCATATAGAACCAGAGCACAGACCTAAGGCAAAGGCAGCCTTTTGCGTAGCCATTTGTCGATACCAATTCTACTTTGCTGCCATGCATTATTCATCAGGAGTAATCCACCCAGCAGCACAGGAGGGGGCAGACAGTGCCCTCTCCCCCTGAGGAGGTCTCCTTTACATCCTCCCGCACCTGAACACCACAGTCTCCTACGAAAGGAGTGGGATGCTCTCACAGAGCTCAGCAAGCCAGACACATGGAGCTTTGCCATCACAGCTGTAAAGCAGCCCAACTTCACTGACTTCAGGGATGTCAAGGTGATTTTTATCAGCTGAGCAACCAGTCCAACATGTCCAAAACAGACTACCGAGTGTACTGAAACGCTCTTAAATGCAAATGTCAGGACACAGAAGAGGCTCAACAAAAATGACAAAATATTTGCAGGAAGCAGGTTCTCCTGGGAGGTATGTCTGGTTCCTGACTAGAGGTGAAATCTTGCTCAGTTTTACAGTAAACTCCCACAGACTCCAGCACAGAAGGAACTTCTCCGGGAGCAGGCTGGGGGGTAATTCACTGGCATCATTGCAACTGCACTGATTTGGACCTGCTTTCATCCTGCCCTTAAACTTCCGAGGCGGTGGAGTCTACATTCATTACCTAATCCATTATTAAGGCTTGCGGAAATGGAAGAAATGTAAGCAGCACAAATGAAGATTTTATCACTTAAATAAAAATGAAGGCTGTTAATCTGTGCATTTATTCAGTTATTCTTACCTCACAGATGCAAGCAAGCTATTGTTCAGTTTCAACTGTCTCAGGTTAGGTAGATAGGCGCCTATGGGAGGAGAATAAAGAAGCATTTTGCAGGACATGGTAGCAAGATAAGGAAATATTTGACAACAAACTTAAGTATTTCATTTCACATGCATTTCTTACCTGTTTCTGTCTGATCTATGCTGGATGTCTTCTAAGAAAGTTAATGAGACTATTTCACTAGCAAAATATTTTAGCCTTTGCATTTTTGCAACATGTACGTATCGTCTGCACGACTGCAGAATTGTAGTTTTTGGAAAGCCTCTCAGAAAGCTATGATACCATGTCTTCCCAAGCAAACAACAGATACTGGCTGAAATTGTGTTTTCTTCAGTCCAATTCAATACTCTTGTTGATTATTAACTGAATGATATTCTGAAGAGCTAAAGAATGCTTTCTAATATAGCATTCCATGAAGCATCTTCCTCTGTGGTATCCATGATGCTTTTGCTTCTCTCAAAATTTTTCTCTACTTATTTGATGGTAAGTAGAGGAGTAATTGGACACGAGGCTAATGTATTTCTGAGCCAAACAACAAAGTACTCTCTCCCATGCCACACTGTATTTTCCTAACACAGAGGCTCCTCAAACTATTTTTCTTTCCTAAGCCTTGCCTACTCCCATTAATTTTGTGTATGTGATCCATTCATTACTATTCAACTGTACAAGCTTTGTATGTAACAGCAACAACAAAAAAGCATTTTGTTATTATAACTTTTTACAATTTTTTTTTTCCTGTTCTTAAGAGATATTTTCTTTTTATCCTCGATTTCTTCAACAGGTAGCTCTGAAGTGCAACCAGAACTTTCCAAGTTACGGGTTAACTTGGATAAAAGCTCAAGCTGCAGGAAACACTTGCTATCAAAGGCAACAAACTTGTACCCATGGACTCTCAGCAGAATTTACCCAGAGCTGCCAAAGATATTCCACCATACTATCTTACTTGTAGAGGTAATATCAATTTTAGACGGACTCAATCACTGCTAATGCAGTAAAATCCATTCTCAACAACTATTTTTATGAGCCCTCTGAGTAACCTCTCTGGCATCAATGGTTTAGCAGTAGCCAAAGCAAAGAAATCATCCTAGATTTTCTCACAAGATCCACTCCTCAAAAAAAAGGAAAAAATAGTGAGAGGATAAAAGGGTGATCGTGTTGATCTCATTTCTCTGAACAGGGAAAAATATTTCATTAAGTCATGGTTTAACAGAAGCATTACTTTTCTAATGCTGTTTGGGTGTGATTATAATCCACATGTTGATTTTTGCAGTAAACTGTCTTGCCACGCAGATTCAGCCAAGGAGTTAAGAGGTGACTATGCACATAAAGGAAAGCATTTTAAAGCAAACAGGTTTTACAAAGTGGTGCTAAAAGAGGATTTGAATGAGGGACAGAGAGAAATGTGGAAGGCTGGGCTCAAGAAAAAAAAAATCCATTTGACATATTTATGGTTGTTTCAGGGAGAGGTGAATAAACAAACAATAACAAAAATAAAAGGAAAATAAAAGAAAAGTCCACTAAGGAATATACAAAAGGATTCAAAGACGCACTGGGTGAGGCAGCCAGAGCAACCGGCCAAAAACACAATTTTCCCATCTGGTTATTTAATTATTGTAACCCAATCCTCTATCTCAGAGATTTTATTGCACTTTGGCACAACACACCCCTGCTAACTTGAAGAGTCTTTAATAGACTGTTTAGTAGACTAAAATAAAAAGGTATAAGATGTGCACTGGTATAAAATTCTGCCAACAAGGCTTTCACAATATATTTCTCTAATTTTTCAGGTTCTTCCCTATATTTTGTATTAGATATGTAATTGGTTTTGGTACCAAGAACACACTGGCCATTCAGTTTTGCTAGATCTATAGTCAAGTTTTCTTACATACAGACTGGAGACTTGAAAAATAAGTTAAAGAGAAAAAACCTGCAAAATATGATATAATAAGTGCCCTCAGCAAATTCAATTGCATGCTTCTAATTTTCTTGGTTTTAATCCTAATAACACATTTTCCTAAGGCCAATGATGTGAATTAGTCTTTAATTAACATTTCCCTAAAATATCAACAACATTGGCTTAACATTTTACTTTCAAAATAGAAATAATATATTCCCCGTTCTCACTGAAACTGCATCGTTTCAGCTCAAAAGAGAGCAGTCCAGGAAAAGGCTGGTGCCCACAGCGCAAAACTGAGAATGAGAAATGGGTAGCAATGTTATCTCTTCCATCTAAGACTCACTAAGCAATCCTTTGCTCAATGGTTTTGAAATCGCTGGCGAGCAACAGTGCAGCAGTATTAAACTATGCTACCATGTTATCCTAGAGGAACATAAACTAAATGAAGAGTGAAGAACTGAATGCATAAAGGTAGATGTACGACTTTTTTCTTAAACAGTCCTGAAATCAAAGAACCACCAAAAATATTTTCAGTAAGACATGACATCGGTTCTTCACCACAGTGTGTATTCCTGAAGAAAAGCCTGCAGGCCTCTACCTTGGAGCTGCTATATTCAGGGTTAGTGTAGACCGCTAACACAACTGCGAAATGAAATGATAGATGCACATTCAGCAACATTTCCTCAAGTGCCACTCTTCATAAGTAGAGAGGAAATAAGGTTGTGTTTTGGAGCTGCCTTGATACAGCAGGCAACATCTGCATAACTAACTAGAGCTTGGGAGAAGACAGGCAGGATACGGTTTATTGTATTCTAAAAGCTGTGACACCTGCATTAATAACCCTTCTTTTTTATGTGGCAGCACTTTTTTCAAGAAGCCCCATCTATCTTGCTTTTTCTACTGCTGGAAATAATAATTATGGCTTGAGCTCTTAAGCCTCCTGGAATGTGGGAACATAAATTAATGAAAAATACACACAAAAGTGACCAACAGTTAGCTGCTTTGGCATCATGCAGCCTGCATGCTATGTTGGTTCTGCAGTACTAAAATGGTACGTGAATACAGGCTGCACTCTCCTAGCAATACCAACCAGATATGTAAATTAAACAAGCCAATTAATCCATTTACACTGTGTGTGATCACGAAAGATAAATCACCCTTATGTTATTTCCATGCAAGCTCTAAATGTGATGTTTTTTCCCACATGTTTCTGGGGGAAATTGAGCAATGTAAATGGAGATAAGACTGCAGCATGTGGAAGCAAATCTGAGCTAGCTTCACTCTAGCTACCTGAGATTAAAATCTCACATAAACATGCGCACACACACACACAAGAAAAAGCACTTTAGCACAGGGTTTAACATAAACTCACTACCCAAGTAAGTATTTATGGCTTCTGGAGAGCATGTCTAAGCCATGCTGCAGCTTGTGCTGTTGCATTTTCTGAGAGCTTTATTAATATGAGCTAAATCAAAGCCAGCTTGGGCAGGACTGCACAGGTTGGGGTCACGCCTCTGAGCTCAGTGCAGACTGCATGAACATCTGCCACTGCAATGCAAGTTTCTGAAGAGAGTCCCCTTGCTTCAGCCCTTAAAAACACTGCAAAACAGTGCAGAAGGAAGCAGGCAAAAAAAAGACACATGCCCTTTAGTTGAGCTCTTCCTTGGTAAGACTCTGTAAGCAGCAAGAGAGTCTTGTGCAGCTCGCTTGCAGCAGGCACAGCTGAAGGGAAGCAGCAGTCCTCAGCCTCGTAATCAACTTAGCCTGGCTGCCAGAAGGCAGCAATTGAATAAGTCCCAGGGAAGAGCATTGTGGGTAACTTGATTTGAAGCTATTAAAATCACTTAGAAATAAGAGAACTATGTCGTGTCTTAAATGACTATATCCCCCCATTACTTTCAACAGGGATTTCTATGAGCCGGTCATGACTATAGTCCCAGATCTGTCAGAAATCAGAACTGAAGGGATAAGCTAATAAAAAGGAAATAGCCCATCTGCTTCAACAGAAACTGGAGACTACATGCAGCTAGAGAGCACAGAAGTACATCCAAATTCCACAAAGCTGGGAGGAAGGCTTGCCAGGAAGGTTCAATGTTTTGTGTGTCACTCAACAAAGCACACCGAAAAACAAATAGCTGGAGATTTCAGCCATTACCCCAAGCCCCAGCAAGGCTCAATTTTAAGTTCTGGCATGAAGCTCTTTGCTATTTTAAAAGCCAATCACATGAAAACATTTTAACAGTGCTCATTCACTGTTTCAGCACACACCCTCTCCCTAGGAAACAGAACTATTCCTCTCTGCTCTGTCCCTTCCCTGTGCAGAAGGCTGACCTGACAATCTGGGAAAGGTCAACAGGATCATGCTTTAAGAAAAACCTCAACACACTTCAAATTCCTCTGTACATCCTGCTTAAGGCAGTGTGCATCCTGCATGCTTGTGATATGGTTCATACATGGCGAGAATATTAAAAATATCTTTCAGTTGGAACTTGCTGCATAAATTTGGGATTCAGGTGACACTTGGTTCCAGGTTACTGCAGGCTATGTGCACTCTACAATCTTCTAACTCTTCTCTCTCCATTTAAGAATGTGCACAACCTATTTCATTGTAACACACTACAGCTTCCCAGCTATTTAACCAATAGTTTAAAAAAGTGCTGCTTACCAAGTGCAAACTGATCATCCCAAATAATAATAATAATTATTAATAATAATAGTAATTAAAAGTAATACTGTGAGAACAAGGTTAAATGGCACGATGCAGGCTATGAAGAAAGCTAATTACTAAAGCATGGAAGGCCACTAGGAGCAGAGCAATCAGGCTGGAAGGGATGCCAGGGGCCTCTAGTCCAACCTCCTGCTCCAAGCAGGGTCAGCTGTGAGCTCACACCAATCTGCTCCAGGCTTTATCCAGTCATATCCTGAACATCTCCAAGCCTCCCTGGGTACCTCCACTGCTTGACTGTCCTAATGGTGACAAAGCTTCCCCTTGCCTCAAGCTGGAACTTCCCTTGTTTCAGTTTTCTTATCCTACTCTTTCTCTCATACTGTCTGTCCTGGTCCTGCATGGTCAGCAGTGCACTGGTTCAGGGGCAGACAGCCAGCAAGGCCTTCACAGAGAGCCTGACACCTTCAAGGGCAACCTTTCTTATACCATTCCCACTGATGGTAAAAACTGCCCTGGGGTTCTCATAAAAATAAATAAATAAAAATAAATAAAAAACACAGTTGTGCAGGTGAAGAATAACTGTAAATAATGGGTGATCACTGGAAGCATCGAGTAGCAAACTTGCTGCCGAGCCATCTGTTGAGATTTTCAAAGAGATTTTCAGAGAGGGGAAGACAGAAATGCACTTAAAAGATGAGAAGAAACAAAATAAATCAGAAAAACAAAAATATTCAAGGCTGCCTTAATGTAACTCTCAAAAGCAGCAGGGACTTGCAGTCCTGGGTTTTTTATAACCCTCAAAGGCCAACTCTTGGTGCAAAGACTGGAACATAAACAAGATGGAAACTGTCTGTGGCTTGAGAATGATGCTCTGTGTTCTGTAACAGTTGAAAAAGCCCACTTAAAGGAAGCAAAGAGAAAAAGATTTACTACACTGATGGAAGAGACAGGGAAGCAGACAGGACACATGGGAGGGAGGTCAGTGATATGTGAAGACACTCTTATTCTTCTACTCTAGCAATACCCTGGGAAATCTATAAGATTAAGGACAATCTGTGTGAACACGTGGGGAACAAGTAAAATAAAGTTCAAAAGAGGAAATGAAGGGGACTACAGATTTTAAATAATCCCACAGCACAGAAGCCAAAAAGAGGGTAAAAACATATTGCTGCCTTGTCACAGATAACGTGAAATGACACAGGAATGGAAGCATCACTTTGGAGCACTGATAGAAATGGCATAGTAAGATTTCCTTATCAGCTGGCGGAAATATGGCTAAGCACATTATGAACTATGAAAGAAACCAATGTAATTGACCTTAAATTATCTAGTGCATATCACAAAAAAGCACATACTTACAAAATAAATAGAATAACCCATACAAACTGCCTATACAATTCAAGAAAAACCTGCTGAAAATACCAGCACTCACTTCAGGGAGTATGACAGCCTATGGCACAGAAAATACTACCCTGCAGTGGTGGTTTAATAGGTAGGAGAACCATCTGGTTGCGAGGGGAATCCACATGCTAACAGAAATGAGTGTTAGAATTGTGAGAGAGGTTTCATATTCTCAGTATTAAGTCTCCTGTACAGGACCTTCCCTTAGTACTTCCCTCCTTCTCAAATACAGTGATATTGACAAAGAGAAAAATCACAAGCATTGGCTCTCTTGCAGCATATCAAAATGACACACCTATAGGACCTTCCTCAAGCCTATTCTCCAGAACAGCTTGATAAGGCAGTTAAGTAGTCAGTAAATACGGACTGCTAGCAACAATTGCAGTCTGATACCACTAGTAATTCCTCAGCCATAGAGGAATTTTCCAGTGCAAACAAACTGCATTTTGGCTACTCTGTCTCACTGGAGTAGCATCAAGCACTCCAGAAAGCAAGATAACCAGTAAATACTCACTTAAAGCCCAGAAGTATGTCATTCAAGAGGAATTCTTCCAAAGTAATTGGTATTAGACCAAACTGGTGTCATTTACCTCACTGCAGATATCATTTGCAATCCTACTTATCATTTCACAGAAGAAACAGAGATCAAGGTAGCAGAAAGAATATGGTTCAAGAGCTCAAGTTCAGCCAAGACTGTACTTTACACTGTTGATTTCTGAGTCCCTAACCTTGCTTCAAGAAACAATAAAGTAAAATTTAAGGAGGTAAGTAGAGGAATAAAATGTTTTCTTACCAAAATTCCCCAGGCTGTTCTCTCTTGTATCCACTCGCATCTCTAGGGACTTCACTTGCTGTAGATCATCTACCCCTGCCAAAGCTTTCTGTAAAGATAAGCAGAAATATAAGTACACTTTTAAGCAATGACTTAGATGGTATAGGAGCAAAAAGGTGTAGAAAAGCTTTTCAACTAGCGCTTGCTTGGTCAGTAGGTACTCCACATGAAAGTGCCCAAGTATGTGATCACATCAAAGTCTCATATTCAAAGATCTTTCTTTCTAGTAGCTCTGAATTATTCTAGTTTGCATATAATTTTTATGTTGCTTATAGTGTCAAAGATGAGGGTTAAATCCAAGTCAATAGTCAAATTGTCAATAGACCTAGATGCCAAAAACAGTTCATTTAAACAACAGGGGCAAGCTTTAAATTTTGCACAAGTCTTGTACTAATTTTGAGCAAATAAAAAATATTACCCTTAGTGTAGCCTGTAATCAACAAAACTAGATTAAACTAGTCTTTAGGCTAGACTATCTTAGACTAGATAAAACTGGATTAAAAAAAAAAAAAAAAAAAAAAAACCTCATCCTTTTAGCCTCCTAATCCAAAACTATCTAAAAGGAACAGATAAACTTAGCTCAAGCTGGTCATAAGACATTTGTTTTTCTGAAGGAGAGAATACTCACTTATTACAAGAAAAATAGATTCCCTTTAAAAGAATTAGGCAAAACAAAAGGAAGCATCTTAAATCTTTCTACTATTTTTGCAAAATCTTAATGAGAAGGTCAACTGCTACATTAAGCAAGGGAAAGGGAGAGAGAGTGAATGCAGCTCCTCCTCACAGAACCTACCCAGAAATAACGAAAAGTCTTTGCTGAAATGCACGTGCATGTTTTGCTTTATTTAAATATAAGGTTAGCTTAGCCCTTTTTCTGAGCTAATCACAAGGAATGATGAAGAAATGCCCAAGCCCAGTATCAGTTTCTACTCCTCAGCGATTTAATCAACAGTATGAGTCAAAATGAGTATTACCTGCCCTTTGTCTCTATATTTACAAGAAATATAGAAAGTTGGCCACCACTTTCATGTACAGGAGATTAATTTTCTTACTATTATAAAGCTGCAAAATATTTAGCTTGTTTCCATTTGCAGACCTGCATTAATGATGGAGAAGTGATTCACTAGAAGGGAATGTGTGTAGGACCACCTCTATTTATGAATTTTGCAAAGAAAAAATAACCATAGGAATATCCAAATTCATTTTGGAGGGCAAAACAGCAATTGCAACATTCCCATTGACATCAGGTAAAGTTTGTATTGCTCATAAGCAAATGCAGCTCCCTTCACTCTAATGATTCTGCATCCTCTTACAAGTAATGGGTCAAACAGTCTTATAACTGAGAGGACAAATTAAGAGAATATGATTTTATGAAACACCTAAGCATCTCTCCTTGAAAAACTTGCTTCTGTTCTAAGGTCTTGAATTGATTGCTAAAAACAGTTATCCAAAGTCTTTCTGTGTCTTCAAATTATCTTTAAAACCTTGTGTTTAAAAATGTCTTTTTTTTTTTTTTTTTCTCCCTTTCCAAAAAGCAGGCTGAGGACAGTTTCTAACTTCTTTTGCCTCCCCAGGAGAATGCAAGAGAGTCCCCAGGGGACGCTAGAAATTTACTTTCTACCTCTAAATGCAGTCACCACAGGAACAGTGTTGCTTCTGCAAAGAAAGCCAGCTTACCAACTACAGGCAGCTTTAGCCTCCCAGGAAACAAAAGATCCCTCATTGCAAGGCACATTTTGAAGTAATCCTTTCCAGCAGATGACATTGCTTGTCATGCAGTCTGTGCACATGGGAGAAACTAGACCTCACTGACATCCTGGCACATGTAGCCACACGCTTCACTTGCTAGATGTAGACCCAAGTTCATTGATACAAAAGACAGCTTCTTCACAAAACTAACACACATCCCCATGCCACCAGTCACAACGGTCTTAATAGCCTCCTTGAGTAAAATCCAGAGTAGGAAGAGGTCTCAAAATAAGCAATAACCCTCAGGTCAAAAGCATTGCTTGTAGAGTAGCAGAAGGTCCTGCCATTGTGAGGGGCGTTTCTTTGTTGCCCTTTGCAAACTTCCTGTGTGGTCCCTTCCACTCTGTGATGCCCTCTTGGCACAATTCTGTCCATTAGGATACACTCCTGCTGCTTATGCTCCTTTCTCAAAAACCGAAGAACGAGCTGCATAAGATTAGTCTCCTCTTCTAGATTTTCCTTCTCATTTTACCCATAGCAGGGGCTACCTGCTTACATGTTTGCTCTCCTTTTCTTCCAAATCCACCACCTTATTTCCCTCCTCTCTGTCCAAAAGATGAATCACTTAGTACATCAATATTTTGTACCATGACAGGCAGAGACGAGGCTTCGGTGCTGGAAAGGGTTATTGGCTGCTACCATTAGTCCTTTGAACTATAGATAGCTGCTTGAAGCATGTGCTAACCAGATGCCACACACTCCATGTGTTCTCAGTCCCCACTTCTCCGTTATGCTTTTCCAATAACCTCCATGAAAATTAGTGATGTTCGCTGCCGATTCCTAGAAAATTCTTGGAGATTTCAGGAGCAATGGGCTCTAGGATTAAAAAATTATCACACTGTGTGAAGGAAATCAGAGAAATGCTCTCAGGTTGCCTACGTGAGTTCCTTTAAATGCACTAGAATGTACAAGGACTCCAGGTGTGACTAAGCTGGTTAGCAAGTAAAAGGCCAGGGAGGCAGTTCAAGAGAAGGTTACATGTGGATAGTTCCTGCGGAGGATAGTTCGGACACTCCTATTCCCGAGAAACCTTTCTTGGAACACTGGTGCACTTGGAAGTGCGATTGGTCTCATATGTCACAGCTGAAAATCTGGGCCCGGGAACAGAGGAGATTTAGGAAGGAACATCATGGATGTATTTAAAATAAAGAAGATAAAAAGGAGACCCTGTTGTATGTGTTACTATACTGTTTAGTATCAGAGCACAGAAAAGAAACAGCAAAATGTAAAAAGAGGAATATTTAGGAGGCAATTTTACTACTGTAAAATGAATAGAATAAATCTGTCAGTCTATCACACTGAAAGGGATCATGAGCTCGGACAGAGCTATGTTTGGCACAATGAGGTAAAAGCATGACTGAGGTGCTTTGCAGCTCTTCATTCCTAGGCCATGCCAAGGCCTAGGCCAGGCTCCTACCATAGGTCAGAATCTGACATATGATGCCCAAGGAGAAGGCCTGGCAACCTGATTCTGTGCAGCAAGTATGAAATTCCTGCCTCAAGTTTCTTTATTTGCAAGGACACATTATCTATGGATATCTTTGATCACATATAAATAACTAGTATACAAAAATATAAAGAGAATTTTGTTATTTCTTTAATAATAGACCTATTTTTATGAGATAATGCAGAAGTGGCTGGTAAATAATTCAGGCAGTATTTTAAGAAACAACTCCATGATAGCTCACAAACAACTCTAATCACGTAACACGTCTGGCCAATATCTAACTGGGGAGCATGTACTAGTTTGGAAAGCTTTTCTTCTGACTGACAAAAAGAGCCAATAAGTATTCTGCTAAAAAATGCAAGTGAAGAATATTTTTGCACTTGCAGAGCTCCCCACCTGAGAGAAAAGTCACCTGGGGATGCTGGGAAGTCCGGTTCAAGTCCCACTTGCAACCGTCTGTAAATTCCTTAATTGGCAAATAATATTTGTTCATTTAAAGCTCATGTATACAACTGATTTCATCTCTTTTCCCTAGATTTTTCACATACTCTAAGAAAAGCAGATATGTTGTTGAAGAGCATGTTGCATGCAGCTGTCAGAGAAGCACTTCCAGCTGTGCGCTTATTTTGCTGATCCTGGTTAATTTGGCTAACTCGGGAATTCCTGAGTGCTGAGCTTATTTGCTTTTAATACTACACCTGTATTCAAATACTAGATTCATGTTCATTCATGTGTTCAGTGCTTTTCACACAGATTTTGTTTGAAATTCCCAAGTGTAAGTTCTCTTTAAACAAACAAGTTTGTTTTGCTACAGGTATGAGAATATATTTCTTTTAAGAGCAGAATTACTAAAATATTAGCAAGATTTTAAACAATTTAAAGTCAAGAAACTTTAAATGAGAGGGGACAGAACTTTCATGTGGTCCCCATGCAGTCTTCCTTTCAGATGGCTACGTGCTGCAGATGCTCATAATTACATTACTCAGTTTTATTTTGCTACCTTCCATATATACATAAAAATACCCTCTCCTCCCAGCTCCGATAGAGATTATCTAAGCATTCTGTCTGGAATAAAGAGGGATTTTCCTGGGTGAGGTAAAATGTGTATATGAGGATAATAATTGCAAAGTTTAAGAGATGAAGGATACTGATGTTAATAAATACTTTTCTCTCTAAAGCCTGCAAGTCATGGAAACTGTTCTACACACGCAGGCCTCTTTCTAGTCTTATCTTTAGTGAAGTTCCCCACTGAATCATGAAGGGGATTTACAGTACAGATACCTTTTCATATTGATGTTAACAGTCTGATGCTACAAGTTAAGAGCTCTCTTAACTATTGGCAACTTCAAGGGGAAAGCTGGGCCTCTGTAACAAGCTGAGAGGTTTGGAGTGTCTCCCCAAAGCAGCTCATATCATTTCTGCAGGAGGAAACACAGGCTCAGTTTTAGTTATGTAATTAATTACCATGCAGGTTGGAAGGGGCAGTAGATATTGTATGAAATTTTGGTTTAGATTTGTTTTAATGATTTAACTTCCCTTACACAGACATATAGAATCATACATCAATATTATTGCTTATTCCTTTCCAGAAATTTTGCCTTTTTACATATTAACTAATTACACTTTTTCAATGTTATGTCACTAAACACTCAGGAACACAAGACTGTAAACTTGTCATTTTACATTAGCTAAACAGCTGTGACTACATGCAAGTAAAAATCTGGTTTTTATACACATGCATGTATATGTGCCTGTATGTATTGCTCATGCGACAGTTTGAATGTACAACCTCAGAGGTCAAAGGGGGAAGATGAAAGCTCTCGTGTAACAATTACAAGTGGTCCCTGCAGAAAAGGCAATAATGTTGAGAAGAAATGAAACAAGCTCTGAAATTAAATGAGGATCTATAATTTCTGTCCTGTTCACAGAACTAGTGAATTCTAATCAGAACACAGAACAAAACTTGAACACAGAATTAGAATTACAGAAAGCAAATTACTACCTATAGAAAACAAAACCTTGAGTAATTTAATCCATCTTTGAAACTAATCATGCTTTGAGTAGGATGTTGAACTGTAAGAACTTCAAAGGTCCCTTGCAGCCAAATTTTTGTTTTTAATGACTGTATGATTCTAATGAAGGATTCAGCAAATCCAAATTAAGGTACTTGATTCTGCTCACTCCGTTTATTTATCAAGATTTTGCACTTGTTTATTTGATCTGCATTTTTCCCCCGTCCCGCACATCCATTTCACTTACAATCAAGAGGAAAATTTTCTGCCAAGGAAAGAAGGAAACGATTCTTACTTACTTCAGTCAGTAAGAATCTAATCTGTAGTTCCAGGACCCTCCAGGATTTTCTTTTCCCCATGAGGACAAGTGCATACCATAAGAAATACACCCTAGCCTCCTGAGCAACAAAACTAAACTCTACTTCCGAACACGTGTTCCTAAGTTTAGGAAACATAGTTAACTGCAGCAAGATCAGTAAATAGTGAAATAAGACGAATGCTTCCTTTCTTCTCAAAAGATCATGCAGAAACACTAACGGCACCATAAATTCAAGAACAGAAGTGATTAGTTTTAATAAGGTGGAATATCTGAAAGACTGTTCAGCCTTGTAAAAATGAGTTTATTCTGGGAAGTTTGGAAAAGTCAGAGAAAGGGCCTTCCTTTGCAAATCAAAAAGGAGAAAGGCAGGAAAAAAAGGGGGTTAATAGAAAATTACTATTTTTAAAGTGGTTCAGGCCAGGTAAAGCTCTTTCTTTCAGTTCCTTCATACTTAATAGGAAATTGATGTCATAGGCCTAACAAAAATAAGAATTACTTGCACTATACTCCCCACTGGTAACTACTTTTCAGAACACAGGGAGAATGGGGAAAAATTTTGTTACTCTGCTACTATCCTAATAACTGCTAACACCACAGAAGCACAAATGTAAGTAGAGACAGAGAAAACAGTAATAACAGGTCAGGATAGAAAATGCTATCAGTGAAAACTAAACAGTAAAAGAGAAAATTTATGTTGATACCAATAAAATGAATCAGAAGAATGGCTAACAATACCCACCCTTGCAACATCTCTTAACCTGTCACTTCAATGAAGAGAATTCAAATGGAAAAGGATAAGCATGTCTTGCATGTTACAGCATCCAAAAAAACAAAAAGGGAGGGGAAAAAAAAGAAAAATAATTTCAGGCCAAATTCTCCTTTCTTTAAGAGAAAAAAATCCAACAACTGGAAATAATGAAGGAACACAAGTCTATCTTTTTGACAGCCCTCAGCAATGGAGAAGGGAAAGAAGAAAATGTAAAGGAAATAAAAAGGAAAAAACCCACACATATGCAGAGATTTCACACAAGGCAACAAAAATGAACTAACGCAAGACAGCAAACCACAAGGAAAGCAGTAAAGCTGAGTATGTATCTGTGCAAAAAAGGTTTCTTGAAGAATTTCCATAAGGTGTCCAGAAATCTGCCCACACAATACAACAGAAGTGGGACTGGATTCATTCTTACATGAATGTAAAAGAAATTTAACTTTAATGAGCATGTATTTTAAAAACCCATTAGTCAACTTCCTCTTCAGAGCATTACAGCCATTACAATCAATAGCTCCTAAAATATTCACAACTTGGAGACAACCAGAAAGATACTGCAAGTGTGTTGATTTAAGCAAAACAACCTTTCAAAGCATTTGGTTACCAATAGATGCAGTTGCTTAAAAAAATAAGCAAGATAAGGAAGATTCATTTTAGATGAAGTGTTTGAACACTGGCTCTATTTTTACCTTTGAAGAAGCAGGGAAGGTAAATTTATGGAAGCAGCTGTTTCAGTTTGATCAATGTAAAGGTCAAAGAATAGATAAACTGGATACATTATTAGAACAAACTACAAACATTGTTAATGTCTCCTTGACAATGTCACATAATTTTGCCTCTAATTGGAAAGTATTCCAGCTACGCCAACGTAAATGTCAAGTGCCAGGGCTATTAAATAACTATCTAGAAAAAGGTGTAGGACAACGTGGGTTCTCCATTTAATAGGGATTCTCCAAAATCAAATTCCTTGCAAGTGTTAGTACATGCAATTTTGAACTTAAACAGATCTTGGCATTTTAAGAGGTTACATAAAAACAAGTGTTTTTCACCACTGGAAAAAAAATCCAGATTTGTAGGAGAACATAACTGGTGGTCTGTGCAAAAACTAAGACATGACAAAATAATGAACAGTGATTTCATAGAAGGAAGCTAGCAGCAATTACTTATGCTTTTCTGCTTACAATTTACTGTGAACACAATAGCAACACAGTTTCAGAAAGAACAGACTTTCACACCAACTAAAGTACTTTCTGAAGGTTTAATCCAGAGTTTAGTGAAGTTGGACAGCTGTTTTGGTTACTTCAGAGGGCTTTGGATCACGCCCTAAAAAAATAGGCTAATTTGAGAGCTTCCCAGGGGATTTATCTAAACTACTCTAGGCCACAAATACATTAGACAGGCAAAACTCTATGCCAAATTTTAACAAAGAACAAGTTGTCAGTGGCTTACATGAACCAGAAGAAATGAATGGGATAACTCCATTGGATCATAGATCTGTATTTTTTTTTTTCCAAAAAATCTTAAAATAATCTCTTTTTGGCAAATTTATATTAACTAAATATTTTATAAACAGGAAACGACTTAACTACTATGGGAAGAGTACTTCTGAGAACAATCTGCTATCTAATCTATAGCATATGGTCAAAGCTGTGATTGGAATAAGGTTAGGAAATCATATAAACCTGCAGTTTGAGAGCAGCTGCAACATCTGTCCTTCAGTTTTCCACTAGTGCAGCGGATGTACCACAGAGCATTACAGACACAGCAAACACCAGCTCACGCTCCAGGAGCATCCAAAGCAGAGCCTGGGCCACCCATTGCACTCTCACTAACTTCTATTCTGCTCCACGATGGAGCACGCTGCGGCTTCTCCTAGTCTGTGCCTGTTCCTTGCTCTGCCTCACAGAAGCAAACCATGATACTTTCTCAGCATTTAAGTGCACTAAAGGATTCCACCTTTAAATAGTCCCCAGTAAGTGTAGCATAATATCTAAAGCTTTCCTTCACTAGCATTTCAGCATGTTGTATGCTCCTTCAAGGGGCTATATACCAGAATCATTTCCCACAGTGAAAAAGGAATATGGCTTTCAAATGTGCTTTGAAACTTCACTCATACAAATATATATAGAAAGCATTTACAGCATTTTCAAAATATTTGAACTGGCTTCTTAGCAATACACAGTATTTCACCAATCCAGAAACAACAAAGTGTTTTTGAAGGTGCATTTTCAATTTCTAGTGCAAGGTCTGTGTAAAAACTTTTCCTGGTGCTCCTTCAAAGCTACTTCAGACAGCATGAATGAGATAGGATAATTATAATTTAAAACCCATCTATACTCATACTGATTCAGAGAAGCTGGCAATAAAGATCCAATATTTGTGCTAGGCATATTTTTGATATGAAACAAGATGGAAGGGGACAAACATATTCTGTTGTGTTTCCAGAAGACAGAAGCTACTTCGCACAGAAATCTGTCAGATATGCAACAATCTCCCAACCATGACAATAGCTGTTCAAAAGTTAAGCTAATGTGGCTCTTTATATGCCAGTTTACCTCTTCTATTTCATTAAAAAGTTCAATATCTGCTCACCAGTTTCCTGGGGGTAAGGTATTTATCCATAAGCAGCTCTCCATCATCTTTAATCAGTGGACTGGGATTTAGGTTACCTCGCCAACTCAAATCAGTCACCCGGACCACAGCTGAGGCTGGACGAGAAACTCTGCCAGAATTCCACTTCAGGTTCATCTTGATATGCTTTGAACAAAAGGATAACAAGAGGTCTGATTTTATTCCCTGTAATATTTTATCTTTACCAAAATTAAGTTTTACTCCTTCTGTAAGTTAGCAAGTTCCTATGGAGATGTAGATTTCTCTACTCAGAAAGTAAAAACAGTGGTGAAGCACCAAGTAACATGCAGTCTTTTACTCTTCCCAACTCATGGAGTGCACACTGCTTTTCTCCAGTTTTCCCATTCTAACCCACAATCTTCTCCAACGGTAGTGAATTTTCCTACCATATCAGCCTGTTACCTACCTGCCCTGTGAAGCAGGCAGCAAACAGCAAATCTCTGCTAGACTTCAGGCTGCAAGTGTCAGCACCAAAATGCATTATTTCTCTCCTTTTTGAGCTTTATTTGAAGGCAACCCAGATGGCAGTACGTGCTTTCTGCCCTGAGTTAAACCCATGTATGTTGTTACTGTCTGTACTCTGGGTCCATGGGAACCCCATCAAAACACAGCTAATATCTAGTTCTAGAAGAGAGTCTTGAGGAAAAAAATCAAAATCAAACACAATACAAACAAAACCATGCATTCTTTAAGTGAAGAATGAAAGTGATGAATGAAAGTTTGAAGGTAAAGCAGTTCAGAAAAGGATCCACTCTTCAATGCTCAAATCTTTTACAGAAATACTAACAATTAACTTCGAAGTATGAGAATAAGCATATATGTACTCATTAGAGAAACACAGTCAGCTGTACCTGTATGCTACAAACTTTACTGTAATTTATATAGCTATTTACTACTATTTGGCAGCAAGGAAGTATCACAGCTGGAAGTGTTACTGTCTCAACAAAAGGCTAGACTGAAGAAAAGCCTTCTTGCTCAGCTGAAGGAACACCTGCAGTTCTCCCCCTTCTTTCCAGCATGAGGTAATATCTATTCTTAGTGCTGGAAAAGTAATTAAATAATCAAGATAATCATAACTGCCTGATAAGGATTTATTGGTGGCTGACACTACAGAATTACCACCTTCCTTTCTCCTCGTAATAATAAACATTTAAACTTAGGAATAAGCTCAAGAGCAGAAGAAATTCTCACTGCTCAGCCAGTGAGCTGTGTTCAGACTAGTTAGTAGCAGAGGGATTTAAACCAAAACGGACTTCCTGCTTCCACTCACTACTTATGTTCAGTCAAAAGCGAAGCACTCAGCCTCTCCATCCAGTATCTTCTAGCGTTAGTAACAGATACTAGATCTCACACTCATAATTATTTTATACATCTACCAGGGGACAACTGGCAGAAAGCAAAACCCTTTTTTCTCCCCCTGCCCACATTCCACACAACAAGTTACTACCACAAATGTGCTACATCCAAACCACAGCAAAGTTTAATACTTAAAAATATAGCAAAGAGCAAATTATTCAAAGATAGATTACTGCTTTCAATTCTTCTAATACCTTATACAATAAGGACCATAAAGTGAATTGAGTAGAGATGCTTCCAGCTTCTAAAACCTCAGTGCTTACATAGTGTTGCAAGAACTTCTATATTACTATTAAAAAGGAAAAGCAATCTTGTTGAAAGCACTCTGTACTTAGTTTTTGGAAGAAAAAAAATACAACCCATAAATTTCAATTAGAAAGTTTTTTCCAAAGAATTCCATAATTCCACACATTAAGATAACCAATTCGGATTAGAATACAAAATATTCTAATAGTCATATAAAAGTTGGGATACTATGATACTTGTAGAAGGCTGTTATGGCAGATTGTATATAAGACAAAGTATTGTTGGTTCCTTCTAATTCAAGCAAGCATCATTATTATCCTGTATGTTTTTGAAGCCAAGTGGATTGATAATCAGAAATTAGTGATGTTATCTGAGAGGCAAAACACAAAAGAAGTCACAGCAAGTCTGTACAGATTAGGGTTGTAAAGAGTTAACTCCTTTGCATAAATACTTACAGCTTTCCTCCCTTTGGTCCATTGCTATTACATTGCAGATCACCCACCCATCTTTGAAGCATATGTTGATATAGCACTTACTTAAGGTTTGACAAGCAGATCAATCTGTGGTTTAATATCTGCAGTAACACTTCCAATTCCATACTTCCTGCTATTGATCTGCTGCTTGTAATTGTTAAAACACTGGATTAGTGAGGAGAATGGTATTTTCATTACAAATTGTCTAGGATGGAAGTGAGTTATTGTCAGCAAGCAAAACAAATCATTCCAAAACTTTTTTAGAAAAGAAAATCTCCTAAAAACAGAGAAAAACAGCATTCTCAAAGTGAGGAACAGAGAAAAGATAAGAGCGCAGGAGGTACTACTCTGAAAACAGCCACAAGTCTCTAAAATAGATATTTACATAGTCAACAAAAGTATTGTCTTCTCCTTACCGCAAAGGAGAGGAAATAAGAAAAATAAAGAGTGCAAACGTAGAATTTATGTGGAAAAGCAAGATATCCAACTACACAGCAGCCCAAAGGTTTACAGTACCTCCACATATTTCCAGCACTCCTCCACTGTTCCCTGTGCTCTTAGCCCCAAATATGTGCCTTTTCCAGGGTCCAACAGGCTTCTAGCTGTGTCATGATCCTCGAAACATAAGAGGATGAAGAAACAAAAGCATCTAACAAACCTCTGAAAGAAGGAGAAAGTAACACCATACCAGTAAGCGGGAGCGAGAGGAAAGGAGGGAGAGGCAAGGAAAGACAGAATGATGATCACAATAAGGCAGCAAAAATAATAAATAAAAACAGATAAACAGAAAATCCTACATGTTTGGTTTTATTCCACAATGGAACTTCGTCAGAAGAATCAATGAATTAATCTTTACAGTACTTGCATGAGAGGTCGTATTTAGCAGAATCTATTGCATGTGGCCATCTATAAGCAAATAAACCACCAGTGTGGGAGAAATAAATAGCCAGAGCAATGAGAAAGAAAATCTTGAATTGTCTGACCAGTTGAAGTGCCAGCTTTCCCCACTGCTACCACTGTCTCTCAAAAGCAAGCAGGATAACAACAGCTATTTGATTTACACATGTTTGTGACGCTTCCTTAATGACCACATTTCCAACACGTATACCATAGCACTAATATCGATTATTAAAATTAAATGATACTTGGAACAAGGAATCTCTTAAAAGAAATCTCTGTAGAATAGTAACTTACAAGAAAATAACTGACAGCACAGAGTTATTTTATGTTCTTAGGGTCTTACAGACTGGTAAAACTCCAAGATTTGATCGTTCTCCTACAAAGATTTATCTAAGAGTCAATGATAGGATAGTGTATTCTTCATTAAATATATATTAATATGTATTTCAAATACAGCAATTGCCAGATATCTTTGACGCTATATTAATTATACCTTTTATTAAAGTCTGGAAAGACCTTCTGAATTGCAACTAGGTGTAGTAATTTCTGTAACCTTCAAAATACGAGCTAAAGAGCTTGTCTAAACAATGAGGCTGCTGTTATTGAAGCTCCTCTTCCCGTGTCCCCCAACAGTAACCAATTCAGATTTACCATATGTAAATCTGCATATCTACTTATTAAAGGTTTTCTGGCAAATAAAAAGGTGAAATGTAAGCAAAGTCTCCCAGGCAGAGACACACAGCATACAGGAGAACTCATCCTTTGAAAGCCCCCAGCATCAATGCTACAAGATTTCTCCTGCTTCTAACACCTCTACCACATTGCACTGATGTCATCACAGGAGTCAGCAAGTTTTTCTGCAATATCCTGCTGCCCTAAATGGAAAATAAACTTACTTAAATCCTAAGAGACTCTAAAATTATTTTAATAGTCTGTAAGTTTTTAGACTGAAAAACAGGAGGCAGGGAATGTTGGTTTCTACCTTTTCTCCAGCATGTCAAGGACGAAATGCCTTTCTGGCTTCCATGTTTTCTCTTTTCTTGCTCTAGGAAAGACACTGCTTTTCCACTATTTAGGGTTTTTTTCTTTCTTTCTTAGTACCAGCTAAAGGAGGATAATGTCCCATTTCCTCTATTTCCTTAAGTTTTGAACCAGGCTACCCACACCTTCAAGAAGTACAAAACTGCAGGAGAAAAGAGTCCTTTCAGCTACTGCAAACCACGTGCCCTTACTTCATGCCACCCGCCCTGCAGAGGCACATTTCAGAACCACTGCACTATCCTTTCATTGCAGGGGACTTCAGTTTCTCCTGCATTGCATTACGTCAGTTTTAATTGTTTAATCCAGAATCACAAATCATGGCAGTGCCCACACTGTTACCACTGCCATAATATGCAAACAAAGAATTTGTGTTTGCTAAGGATTTGACAAAGGCTTGGTTTACAAGTCCTAGGGGAACTGTAAGTGCCTTTTTAAGAGTAATTTTCTGCAAGTGCACTACAGATAACCTCTTCTGGAAAATAACTGTTTGGGCAGCTGGAATTTGCTATGATGTCAGCAGGAAACTACTGTTACAATAATCCACCCCTAATGGCAAAAACAGCTCTTGCTACATTTATGCAACATAAAGCATCCTGAATCATACCACTCTATTTTAGCAGGTGCAATTTTTTAAAGGTTGAAAAATAAAGCATCTGACTTGTTATTAATGGGAGTCTTTCTTTTCCATCTATGACTAAATGTTATTGTTTTAATCTCTGTTCTTTTTAAATAGAGAAGCATAATGACTACTTCAATAGTGCTGCTTTAATATCAAGGGATCATGTGAAACAGCAAAGAGTATTCATAAATATTCCACTTGTATGTCCCATTAAAAATTATTTTTATGAGAATACTCAAATATCAAGACCAAATCTCCTTCCATTTAAAAAAAATTAAAAAAATGTAAATGTATCTGATGCTTCTCTGGTAAAGTAAACATGTAAATCTTGCTCTAGAGTTGTCAGGCCCCTGGAGAGTTTCGGGGATCTGGGTCCCAATCAATAAGCAGGAAAAGGTTTTAGGAGCTTCATTTACTACATTACTACATTTCCTTTACTTCTAGACACAGAGTTGAGTTCAATCTGTGCATTCATCCAAAGCAACAGTAAGCCAGGAGAAAAAGAGTTCATGTTTTAAACTCCCACTACATTTGAGCCAATACTACTGCAGTAAAAGGTATTTCATCCTCTTACAAAACATACAGTAATAAATAAAAAGGTAATGCATTTACATGTCAACTTTTTCTTGTAGATAGCTATCTAGTTATAAACTGTATGCATAAAAAAGCAAGACATACAATACTTTCTTGTATCCTGTTGAAGAATTTGAAAGGCAGTGGAAAATCTATCACACATGCTAGTAATGCCTCTAAAAACATTCTGAACTAGCTCATCAAATGTTATCTTGATAGCAAGATAAAGGCAACTTACTCTCTATGATATTTTCGGTTACATGTTGAAGAAGCAATAAAACAAAGTCCTTCGGGTGTGTTTTGTTTGTTTGTTTAACATCAGTAGGCATTTTGACCTGCTACATACATTCACTGATGGCCTCTGTGGTGCGAGTCTGTAGTGGCTACAAAACTATGGAAGAGTATGCTTTATATAATCCTTAGTTGAAACAGCAAGATGCTACAGAGTGAGATTTTACATATATATATATATATATATATATATATATAATATAGATATAGGTGAACTTCCTGATGGACAAAAATGTCTCAAGAAGCCTCTCTGCTTTCTGTGCTCAAGCTTCCCACATCCAAGTGACAAAGCTGGGAATAGTACATGGGAGTAACAGGCAACACTGGGCTTACAGAAAAGCAGAGCTCCAGGGTGTCAAGGCTTTTACTGGAGGAAGTTCTTAGGATCTTTACATCAGTAGAAGAGATTAAAATAAGCCTCTAGCCATATCAACTTAAGCAGGCAGCCATAGCTCATAAAGCTGCATTTGGCTCTTCATGTCCAAAACTGCTCATCCAGTAGTAACCAGATGTTGCACATGCAAGAAAAGACCACTACATCCTCTGGTCCTTAGAATGGTATTCTGAGAGCCAGTGGCAGGGCACACAGGAACTGGGACCTCGCTAGCTGTGCTTGTCACACACATAGATATTAACTTAAACCTAAGAGATGTCCCTGGAGCAGAAGATTAAAATTCTAATCAATTCTTAACATTGAAGATTCAGCTTTGTTAAAAAAAACAAAGCAAAAAAAACCCCACACTATAGGGATAATTTTTAAGCTGTTCTTAAAGCCCAGAAATTAACTCTGATCATAACATCAGTTTAATGAAGTCTTTTGTCAGGGAATGTTTAATATCCTCCTTTTAACATGCCTCACCACTAATATTCTATGCTTATTTCAGAAGACAGCATCCACAGGAATGTGCATTCTCCCAGGGTGAATTAAGATTTAATCTCATATTTAAAACACTATGTTATCTTAATATCTATTAGGAATTCTGTAACCTTCAAAGGACAGTAATCAAAATAATCATTTTTCCTTAAACATCAGTCAGGTCATTTACTTTCCGTGCATTCAGAAGACTCAGTATTCTCATGTTACTCACACCCATTCAACTACAATTTAAATTGAAGATACACTAGCTATCTTCTAGTTACTGAAACCAAGAGGAGATGAACAAGGCAAGGTTTGTAGGCAGAATTACTATTTTTTTTTAAATCAATACATCTAGTTAGGAAAACAGGACATATTCAGAGTAGAAAAAACATTCTTCACATCCATCTGTATGTTAAATGCTGTTCAATCTCACAGAGGAAGACAACTCAACACTACAGTATCAGCCTCAATCCTGAAAAGACTTATTCACATCAGTAATTTCCACATAGTGAATTTTACCCCAAAATAAAAGTTCATCATACAGCTAATCCAAGATCAAAGCACTGCCAGTATCATTTAAAATATTAACAAAAGCATTCCTATGAGACATCCCAAATGTATATCCCTTCTTCCTAGCACTCCCACCAGAAAGCAGTTGGAAGATCTCTCTGTTCCTAATCAGCCACGCCAGGTTTCATCAGTTTGGTCAATGTAAAATCCCGCAGGTCAAGACTTCCAATGAAGTTAAAGTAGCCAAAGCTGTTATTTCTTTAGCTGATTTATCTGAGAAAGTCTGGAAATATAAACCCAAGTGTATTATTTCTGAGCCAAATACTGAAGTGGGGCAGCCAGATAGCCCTAAAGGCCTAGAACAGAACAGCACCTTCTCCAACCACACAGTGTTCACATCTGAGCACATGAAAAGAGTAATTACCTCCAGGGTACTCTCCACCTATGAAGTATATTCAACATCTGGGAAAATAAACAGTACTGCCTGAACACACAGCCTGCAATATATATTTAAAAAGTAGAGAATCTGCATAAGAAAACTGTATTTCAGGAAAAAAATCCAAATACAGAGTGAGCGGCTCAGGTCTAATTCATCATTCAAGTAATAATTTCACTGAGGTAGTGCCAACAAATGAGGCTTTGGAATATTTTTTTAATTTTAATTAAAGTTACTTTCTTAGGAAAGAAAGCTTTTGCTTTTGGATTAGACTTCTGTGCCAGATGATCTATATAGATTCTACTATATTCCACTGAGTGCTGCACTGCATAGGAAAGTTTTTAATGGGCTTTCATCTGTTATTCCAGATTAAAGAATAACTTACTATATGCCACAGACCCCAAATTTCACACACTAAAATTATAAACAATGTGGGGTCTGGTGTTGAAAAGACATGGAGGCAATATAGAAAGAGTCCCCTCTTCTTGCAAACTTGGTTTTTGCTTTAGTGCAGTGCTTACAACAGCTGCTCTTGCCTTGCATTTATGAGCCCTCTGAAACTCAAACTCCTTTGCAGGATGAAAACACATCATGTATGGTATTTTTAAGTGCTCTGTTATCCCCCAATAATTTTCACTCCCTTTTATTGAGTAATTAATCTGACCAAATCAAGAGACTCTGTGGTCTGCAAAGCCATCTGAAAAGTTATATTCAGTGCAGTGATGCTTACTTTTTCCAATGCTTTGCTCACACTGCATATATTGTACAAAAGACAGCAATTCCAGTTGAACTCATAGGAATATACCAAAGAATGGAAGATGTCATAGGAGTTTATTTAATAGCCAACTCCCTTGAAATTTTATCAAAGGCAGACAATTTACACAGAAAAAAAACACTGAAAATCAGTTTAGGTTCCTTATTGGGTTGCATTATAACTGTCCTCCTGGATCAGAGCAGAAGTCCAGCTAACTACAGTGGTCAGAAGCAAATGCTTAAAAAAAAAAACAGTATCTTAAAAAAAAAAAAGTCTAAAGCAATCCTTCCTGTGACAGACTGTTTTTGCTTCTGGTAACAAGCTGTTTCATAATTTCCTGAGCCAAAAGCTGCGCTGTGTTTAAGAGTCACAGATGGAGGTATCCTCTAAAACTCTACCTGGTTTTGACCTCATTTATTTATTTTTGTCCTGTTTCCACTTCTCATCTTTGTCGCATTTCACGGAAGCAGCTTTACATCTATTTGAGATGATCAGAAGTGCGCATAAGGATTCAAGATGAGTACAGAGACAGTTCATGAATTAATGGTGTTTCAATTTCTTAAGAGTTCTAACAATGCTTGCCTTTTTAAGCAGCTGTGAGATGGTATTTTCAGAGAACTATCAGAGTAGCTTAATGCTCCTTCCCAAGCAGCATTATTTAAAGTCCTTCACGTGACACGTTCTTCCCCAAGTTCATTGCTTTAAGCTTATAGATGGATTCTCTATTAAAATAAAACAAGAACATACCCAAACATTACTTACAATAGCAACATACAAAGCAAAAACAAAAACAAAAAGAAAAAAAAAAAAAACAAAAAAACCAAAGCAACGTTTGCACTCACACATGAAAAAAGTAGGATAAACAGTCAGGGCTAAATTACACTTCCAATACTTATTCATGATGCAAAACAGTACAATTAAAGGCATAAGTACTTTCAAATTTTTTTTAAAAAAAGGCCAGATAATGTTTCTATGAACCGTCCTGGTTCCACAATCTTTCCCGTTTAATACGGATCCATTAGCCTTTACTGCATTTGCCTTGCCAAATCTAGTCTTCTGGTCAGTGTTATAGCAAATGCTAGTGACTCTACTGATACAAAGTAGGTTTTGCTCATGATTATTTTTCAAGATATAAATCTGCAAAAAAAAAACACATTAATCATTTTACTAGCAAATTAAAATAAGAGATGCACCAAAACTCATTTGCGAAGATGACAATTTTTTAACAAAGATATGTAGTTTATGACATAATATGGTACTATTTTGCAATATTAGCAAGATTGCACACCTTTAAACTTAGATATTAAGGCTATTTCTTTAATCACATCTCGAATGTAGTTTCAGCTAAAAAAGTTACTCCAGTCTGGTGTTAAACTCATATCTGGTTTCATATTAAATCTGAATCCTGCTTTCACACAGAATCTGTGCAAGTCCCCAAGAGCTGTGGAAAACCAGGCTGTTGACATCACAGACTTTTAAAAATTCTTCTACAGACACGTGAAAACATGGCATCAAAACACACTGGAGATTTCGTAACAGACAAAGTCTGAACACCTCTCCTCCTGCATGAGCTAACATAGTGCCCACAGTGGGAAGAATCCACACATTGGTCCCTGGGAGATGCAGGATCTACAAAAATGTGGCTATTGGAAGCAAGCAATGCAATTCCAGGCATTAGCAGCTCTTCCTCTGCCTCACTGACGAGGGCACCTACCACCTGAAGCTTCATCTCCCTACCCACATTCCCAGAACTAAAGTCAAAAGAGAGAACAGAAAGGCCAGGAAAAAGAAAAGCTGCTAATGACAACAAAGCTGAACTCAGACACGTCTAAACACCGCACTTTTAATCTAAGTCCTTTAGGGCAAATTCCTCAAATTGGACAAAACCACATATACAGGAAAATGAAATGTGTCAGAAAAAAATACTTTTAAAAATAAAAACTTCCAAAGCATTTTCAGCTACTTTTTAATTTTTTTAAAAGTTTTTTAAATTATTATTTTACCTTTTCTTCCACAGGCATTCCTATTCTGCTTCTTTCACTTTCCAACTGTGTTCCCTCAAGGAGATGTTCATTTACCAGTCATACCACCATTCCTCTCCATTTGACTGACACATGTGCTAATAGGGCAATTTCTCATCCGATTACTCCACATCCTGCTAAAACAGCAAGCACAAGCACAACATCTTCAAAAACAAAAAGGTGACTTGGAGCATTGCATAATAAATAATGAAAAAAGTACTTCATCAATTATAATACAAGTCCACACTCCATATGTCATAAAACTTTAACAAGACATTAAGGGATATAACCTAGAAGAGCCTAATGAAAGAACAACTTGAAATGGCTTCTCAGAGAAGCCGCCAGAAGGCACAGAGGAATCTACATACATGGTACATACATGGTGCCAGAGGATCCGGTAGAGAGGAATCTACATACATGAAAAACTTGAGCAGTTGTTTACTTGGTCCCTTCCCAAGGCCCAAGGTATGCTGAGGGTACCATTTAACCCATTTTCACTGCACCTTTCATCAGAAAATATTGGTAAAAGCAGTCAGAATAGAAAACATGACAGGTCATCAGGAACTTCTGTATCAATGATTTTTTTAAGCAAATACTCTACAGAGTAAGTGCTCAGCCTGCATAGCATATACATTCTGGGTAGGTTTAAAGAAGTGCTTAAACCTATCAACTACACTTACTACCCTAAAAACTGCAGGCATTGCATGTACAGTGCTGTACTCTTGCTCTATTGTGGTCTCACCCCAAAACCTCCCCACTGCACAGGGGCTCATAGTTGAGACAGGCTCCTACCTGTGACACTGTAAACCCTCTCTGCACTAAGGCTTTAAACCCGCAGGGAGCCCCTGGCCTGGCAGGGGAGCAGGTCTGGTAGAGCAGCCCTGGCAAACCGTTCCCCTCATTTTCAGAGGGCTGAAAAGCACGAAGGAGCTGCCTTCCCTCAGCTTAAAACACGCGGGTAGCGAATTTGCAGTTTGAATTCAAACTCTCCGCCAACGCACGCGATTTGAACGCATTCGAACACGGCAGGGGTTTTGCCAGCTCCAGAAGAAGCAGAGGCCACCGCCTGCTCCTCGCTCCTCTCGCGGTGTCGGGCTGCGATCCGACCCCGACCCCCCCACCCCACAGGTTAGCACCCCGGGCGCATAACGGCCCTAACGGCTCCAACGGTCGCCGTGCGCGGCCGCCCTCCCCGGCCCGGCTCCCACCTGCGGCCGCGGCGCGGCGGCCCCGCGTCGCCCCGGCAACGGGCCCCGCCCCTCCAACGGAAACCGTCCGTCCGTTGGAGCAAGCGGCGGCTCCCGCCCCCCGACCCGAGCGCAAGCACCGTTGGAAACAGTTACCGCTTCATTTAGATGTTTCTGATACGCTACTCTAATAATAATAACAAAAATCTGCATTATTTTTCGTTAAAAAAAGTGAAGAAAAAACAGAATACATTAAATGGCCAAAGTTGCAGAGCTGGAAATGCCAAAAGTCCTCTGCTTTTCGAGCCAAACGCCTCCTTTAACACCGCTTGTTTCAAAAAAGCAACATACTGAAGTGCATCCAGTTGGTTCTCACAGATCCGCAGAGAGGCAGCAACCCCCCATCATCCACCCATAGCCTAAATTTGCCAAATCGGTGTATTTGCCTATTCAAGAGCACAGGTTGCCTGGTTTGTGGCAACACCTTTGGTCAACATCTGCCCCTCGCCAGCCCCGCACGTGGGAGGCTCCCGTGTATCCATACGCATCTGTCCGGGGAGGGGGCCTGATCTTCCACAGGGACCACTGAGCAACCACCGGACCACTGCCCACCTCGGCAGGAGCAGCCCCAACACGCTCCAGGAAGGCATCAGGATTCAGTGAAAACACGGAATTAGGAACATTTCCCTTGAATTTTATTCCCAGCTCTGCTACTTCCCTTTGGGGTAAAGAGCATAAGTCACCTTGACTCAGTTTTCCCCCATCTTTCTTTTTTGGGGGGGAGGCCACAGCAATTTCCTAAAGGTTCCCTGTGGAGTAACACCAAGTGCACACTGCAGGCACACATCCGCATGGCGCTTCACAGCTTTTCCTCCTTCTGCTGGAAATAATCTTGTTAGAGCCAACCCCCTCTGAACTATGTGAAACCAATCGAAGGAGAAATGCATCTTTCTGTCACTGCGCAAGAAAAAAAATCTGGCACCGTTTCAGCGTAAATACAGAAGCTTTAGGTCTGAACCATTTGGTGTTACGGTAATTGCTCTGGCACCGTTCCCAGGGCTGAGCTAAGGTCAGGGAGAAACCTGTAAATTAATAACTACAGAACTGATGCGATCTCTCTCCAGGAATCACGCTATACATACATGAAGTTTCATAGGAGAGAAAAGACACGCTTCAATTCTGCCCAGAAGCTTTAAAAATTCTGAAATAGCACCATCAACAACTAGCATACCAGGGACCTGGGAAGATGTTGGTCCCACTTCTGATCTCACCATCACAGGGGTTTCATAAACAAAAACAGGTCGTTCTACATTAATTACATCTTGGCACTACTCAAGTGAACAGAAATCAGGTGTAATTACCTTCTCTGAAAACCGAGCCAAGGTGGACAGACCTTTCCCTGGTGGGTCTTGTCTTCCAAAGAACAGATATAGCAGTCCTCATGCTTGTACCCAGGCACCACGAAGTTAAGCAACACCCAGGCACTAATGAATAATATTGATTAACAGCTAATTGCTGTTGACACTTCTATTATTAACATTTAGCAATTCCATTACAGTACAGATTAGAAACACCAGACCACAAGGTTTTTCCATTGGAGGAACCTGTTTCCTTACACTGCAGATGACCAATTCACAGTCATTTAGATACTCATCAGTCTCTTCCTCTTTCTTTTCAAAGATTGGTCCAAATTCTGCCTCTGAAGATTGCAGACTGCTGAGTTTATAGTCTATTTTTTTATTGCCAGTTTATACTTATATTTGGTAGTCTGCCATTTTTTCAGCTTAACTTTTTCTGTTTCTTGCTTTCTTGAGGTATTCATAAAGCCCACTCATCTCTTCTCAACACTTTGCTAAATCACACAAGCCAAGCCCAGAATCTCCTGTCAAAAACAAACAAAACAACCCCCCCACAATCTGCAATTCTTTTTATCCTTTCTTGAAGTTGTGTGATCATAATAGTATAGCTAATTCCAGTTATGCAGTAGTTTGAGGAATCTCCTGTCCTCAAAATACCTCCTCTGATATATCCTGCAATTGTATTATCAAAACCACATCAAACTCATCACTCATCAGCAGCAACCAGCAAGGTGAGGGCCTTCTCTTTCTTTATCCTCTCTACTTGCTAGGTGGATAAAAGCCCCCATGATAGCAAAAAGCTTTGGAAGTATGTGATCCCACATTTCCTACCACGGCATTTTATCCTGTGTTCCATCCCCACGATATTCCCCTTTTTACTAAATGATATTCTAGTCTTCATCTGCTGATGCCACTTAAGCACTAGTAAGTGTTATGTCAAATATCATAATTCTTCTCCTCCCATCACTAACAAATCAAGTATTGACCATGAGAAACTCCACTAGATATTATCCACTTCCCACCCACTTCCAAGACACAGTCTCTAGGTACAAGCCCACATCTGGATGATCCTCAAGCTTGCCTATTTCTTATTTTTTATTATTCTTACTGTATCTGCTCACAAAAAAATACCAGTAGCTAATACTAACTGATGAAATGCGGCAAGCACACCAGCATAGTAAGAGATGTATCCCCCCAAAGCTTATTACAAATAAGTAACACAGAGTAAGGGCATTCACCCCCATTTTAAGACACAGGATGAAGCATCAAAACTGCAATTAACTGAGGAATTTAAAGCATGGTTCTGCAGCGCCACAGTTCTCCCTTGTTCCTGTATTTCATAACAACTAGAAGATGTAGCACCTTTAGTGGTCTCTACATCAATTCGTTATTAGCAATCATCACTTAAAAATCTGCTCATGTTCCCAGGATGACCTTTATTTCAAGTGTGAACTACAGCACCAACCTCCTCATTTCACGTGCTGGTCAGAAGATGACATCAGAAGACAACATCAGAAGAGTCTCCACAGCAGCAGGCGCTCAGGACGTTCTCATGGGTGTCAGTCAGATCAGACAGAAGAGAAGGACAAAGCACGGAAGGAAGTAAGAACTGATCCAGAGGAAGACAGAAGACCATTTTCTGTAACTGCATGAGGTGTGAAAACCAAGAGCAAGGGAAGGGTCCAGTGAAGAAATGCTCTCTGACATCACTATATCCAGACACTTGGTTTTGCTCCTTTTCACAGATTTATGTGAATTCATAAACTGCAATCTGAAAGGAAAGTTTAATCAGGTAACATACAGCATATTGCACAAAGCTGCATCATTTAGGCTTAAAAAGACCTAAGAAAGCTTCCAGGAAAAGCTTTGAGTTTATTTAAATTCGCACTAAGGCAGCAGCAATAGCAGTTTCTCTTTGCCCCTGCTTCTGAAAACAAGTAAACCAAAACACTCCTCTGAAACGACCCAGAAACACTGTGGAGCCAAGGGAAGAGCAAACACGCCGGAGGGTTAGCTAGGTCCTAAATCAGAGCTCAACCTTCAGCTTCTCACCACAATGCGCTGCTGAGGGAGAAAGAAAAAGGAGAAAGGACACCTTCCACTGCAATGTACTGGGGAGAAAAAGGTGACAAAAACAAAACAACACTCCTTGGCCTAGAAAGGTTTCTATTTCCAAATTTTTATGGGAAAAAAAGAAACATTTTCTTAATATGAATAAATATGAGAACCAGAAAAGCATGTTTACACTCCCTTGTTTATAGTGCTCCTGACAATCTGAAATGATAGCAGCTTTAAACATCTATAATTATACATCTATCCATAGATTTTATATAGAAACATCTGTATAAAGTGAAGATGGTTGTTTGCTGCTGCTCTCTAAGGTCACTTATTTTTCCCACTTTTTTTTATGCCAAACCATCTTTGCGTGGGAAGCCCAAGGATGCTCCCAGTGCACATGTGTCCCTCCAGCGCATGGCTCCCATCACGCGTTGCAGCACAGACCCGTAAGTGCCCTTACATCTGCCAGACGGTCATTTTTATTTTAACCTGAGAATAGGCTTGGGTTGCAAAACCCAACGTTATTTCAACCACGGCAGGGCCACAGGGGCTTGTTCAAGGCTACAGGGGCTTCACTGTGCTCAGGCCTGTACAAATCCCAAGTTAAGAGGCGGTCTGGCTGAGAAGGTCTGAGAAATGGCAAACTTAATAAATAAATAAAAGGAGTAGTGCTGGCTGTGGGATTAATGTCTTGGGACACTGGAGGCCTCTTGCTGATGTTATTTATAGTCCACACCTGGTCCACATTGTTGGTGGTCCTCGTGTTTCTTCTGGGATGAATTCCACAGTCAATGACTGAGTTACAACTTTGTTTTCAACATTAAACCAAAAGAAAAAAAAAAAAAAAAAAAGAATTCATGTTGGAAGGGAGTTGGGGTTGGGAACTGTTTTCCCATAGTTTTTCAGGAGCATCACTTGCTCTCTGCAGCAGAAAGAAACCTTGTGACCGTGACGTATTTATAGCTCTGCTTTGCCAGGCAGGCGTGAGCAGAGCTGTCTTCACGCAGGGAAGCCCTTCTCTACAGTGCTGCAGAGCATACCTGCTTTTTGTGCCAACGCAGAGCCACGGCAAAGTGCTCCCAAAGCAGAAAGGTATGCTTTTCTGTTCCTCTTCTACCAGGGTAAGCGACAGCATATGGTGTAAAACAGAAATCAGGCCAAAGAAAAGGGAGGAAAACAAATCAGTGCGAACACTGAACCGCCGGTGTGCATGCAATTTGTACAGCTTTAAGTTTGTTGTGAGCTGTACCGGGCACGTGCAGTTGGGTACATGAGGCTTTCAGCCATCTCAAGGCTGCTGCAAGCCACACTATGGAGAAGAGCCCCAATAAAGTCTTTCCCAAGCACCTGCACCTGGATGCATGGCTGGGGCGCAGCCCGCAGGGGTGTAGGGTGCTACGTACTGCAGGCTCGGTGTGGGCTGGTAGAGATGCTGCATCTGTGCACACTGCCATCCTGTGCTGGCATTTTCTGGCTCAGGTTCCCCTTTCTGTGAAAAGCCTCAGGATTTGTCTCTATTTTGGTTGTCGTCTTGAGTAACTTCCCGCTCAATACTGATTATGAGAAGGGGTCTTTATAAGGAAAGAAGGATGTTTCTTTCACTGTCCTAAATATGACAGGAGAGGCCTGACTCCCAAATACTTCCTTATAGCCCAGGCTCTGATTTTGCACAATGCAAACTCAAAGAAAGGACTATATACTTCATTATTCCACCACCTAAATTAGTGAAGACAGAAGCTAGATTAACAGTACACTGATGTTAAGCGTAGCATACACCTTTGTGCACTGCCCAGAGGTTTCAGTAAAGGCACCTCTGGGTACCTCAATGAGCATCCTGGCCAAGATTAATAAAATGGCTCAAGTAGCATTTCAAAATACTGAGACCCTAAAGCACACCTCAGTTCTCACACATACCTCAAAGGCTCCTTCCGTGGCAGTTTGTTTTCAAGGCTGGAGCTGTCAGGAGGCTGCTGCAGGTGACAGTACGTGGCAGTGAATGTGGGACTGTTCCACTGCTCCGGCTGTAGCTGCTGTCTGCTACCATCGACTCCACCCTCACTCGTAGGGCAGCTCTTTGCTGCAGACCCCTGTACTTTATTGCTGCATCGTTACTTTTCTGGCCTGACACTGCACCTCAGCATGCTCTTCTCTCCAAAGAGACCCTGGGGTAAATCTTCACAGGGGTGCAGTGGAAATCTAGTGCCTGAACTGGTCACCAGGAGTTCTGGCTGAGCAAACCCCTTCTGGAGAAGACTGAAATAGAGGACGGAATTCATCTCATGACCACAAACAATTGTTATTTTAGAGTCACGACCCTCCTGGGACCCTGTAACACATTTCCTTTAGCTTCCTACAGCCTGAGCAAAGCCCCTGCACTTCCCAACTTGCCCTCTGTTGTCAGCAGTGGAAAGGGACCTCTGCTTCCCTCTATTCCAATGTGGAGCTGAATATCCAGAAAACACCAAGGAGGGAAGCCGATCCTGGATGGTACCTGACCCTCTCCAAGAGGAGGGTGCGCTGGACTCGATTCATCTCAGCTTCCTGCCCAACTCGGAGATGTGTAGGAGCTCATTCATTTCAATAGCATTATATCAGGAGTATAATGCATAATTAAGCACATTTCCTCTCTGACAGGCAGTATTTGGGCACTCTGAGACACGAGCAAACAGCCTGGGGAAACACCCACTGTCCTCACTGCGTAAAGCATTGCTGCTGCCAGCAGCCATCCTCTCTGAGCAACCCAGCCCACTCCGGCCTGCCCCACACACGGCCCTCCTTGTGCCGTGCAGCCCTTGTGCTCCTGCACAAACGTGCACTAACAGCCCACTTGCCACATCACACACAAACGTGCACTAACAGCCCACTTGCCACATCTCTTTTCCAGAGAGCTGAACGGCTGGAAGCATACCCACAGCTGGCTGGCGTGGGACACTCTCCTTTGAGATATCTGCTTTACAACACGTCCTGCCCTTGGCAAGGCAATCTGGAGAATAAAATATAGAGATCAGAGGTAGAGAGGGGAGAGAGATTAAAAAAAAAAAAAAGATTAAAAAAAACCCACCAACAACAACAAAAAAACATCAAAGGTGTGATCTAAAGCCTTGGAGTTAGAGGAAACTTCAAATCACACCCACAGGCAAGCCTAAAAAAAGTTGCCAAATTAACTTCAGGCTTTTGGGCCTTCCAAATTTAGCATCTCTAAAGGGAACATATTTTTAAAACATTGTTGTGTTCAGAGACAACGGTTGCAATAACTCCTGGTCGGTGATGATTAAAATAAAACCCTTGTTACAGCAGCGTGCTGGGCTGTGCAAGGGGTCAGCAAAACCAATTGCCTGCCGCGTGCAATGAATGCAGGACCATAAAACACACAGGGAAAAATTCCATCTGTCACAGAGGCAACTTCCCAGCAAGGGCAGGAATCTCATATCACACAACACCTCCTTGCTTGTGGTCATACACTTGAATCACTTCCTCATCCTTTACACAGGAGCTATCTAGGAAACGCGTTCAGGGAGCATCCTAGCACTTGCAAGCACAGCTTTGTGCTGTGCCCGTTTCCTCTGTTTCTAGCCACGTAGAGCCGAGGTCCTTGTGACCTCCTTACCTGGTGACAAGCCTGGGAGCCCTCCTGCTGCACGGCGTGGGGCAAAGCCGAGTCCCGGGGGCAGGAGGAGCAGGGCAAACAAGTCCCGGGGGCAGGAGGAGCAGGGCTGTGTTTTCCAGAGCGCTCCCCGCCAGCAAGGCGACCGCCCTGGCACAGCCCGAGGGGTTCAGGTGCCTGAATGAGATCAATGAGAATGAGGACCAGTGAAAAGGTTCTGTGTCTGGGTGGAGAGATAAAGGAGAGAAAGAAAATAAAAGTGGGGATTCACTTTAGGAATATTTTAAGCACGGCCACTGAAATGCCACAGGCAAGGGAAGAATTTAGAGTAGGAAGAGTCTCACACTTGGATATAACTGTATCTGAACACCTAAAACCCACACTCCTTTCATCTGGAAATTTAAGAGTGTTTATGCAGGAGCCTTGTATCTGTTTAAGCTTGACATTTTAAAACACCTCTGCCACACGGGGCAGACATGCAGAACGCGGCTCAGCCCTTTGACGGGTCCCCCCGCAGCTCCGGCTGCTCCTGGGCGCCCGCCTGGCAGCTCCAAGATAGATCTGCCTGCACAGTCATTGCAGCTGGCATCACAGCTTAGGTTACTGGCTCAAGCTCTCATTGCCAAGCGAAGGGTTTGCTGCAACAACCCATCTAAGGACAGAGCAGCTCAAGGGTCTGGGGCAGCCCCAAGGAAGGCTGGCCCCAGCAGCAGGAACGCAGCTCCACAGCGTTTTCCAAAGGGCAGGGGTTTGTTTTCCTGCTCTTGGAGAGAGAAGCAACTCTGTCACCAGTAGGGTCACTGCTGTCAGTGCATTGACAGAAAGGTCTCTGCTCCATGCCTAGCAATCAGACACTCTCCCCAAGCCCTAGATTTGCTTAGAATGCAATCTAAGGGTCTGTCTCAAGAAAAAATGATGGATAGCATGTGGGTGCTGGAGGCAAGGGAAGCCAAAAAGATGAGGAATCTGTCAGGTGATATATACTCTTCGATTTTTGAAGCAAATCCTTCATTTTTGTAAATATTCTCCACAGCCTGCTGCATATAAGACACAGTTATAACTGATACTGGGAGAAAAAGGTACAATACACAAACCAGAACTGAAGCATTCTCAGTTACCAGCTGCATTTGTTATGTGTGGTAATAACATCCATATGATAAATGGATTTATTTCTATGAACGGGTAATAAGTTAAACCTCCACACGGTGAGCCAGATTCATCCTCTTCTTTCACGTCCCCTGCAACATTCCTACTGGCTCTTTTCTACATCAACTTTTTAACTTGGTTGTACTAAGTGCCTTAACCACCCTGAATATTGATCATCAATTGCCAACAACTGCACACTGATTCAGCTCAAACTTGAGCCATCTACATTAATAAAAACTCAACACTTGCCTTCTCTGCAAATAAAATTTCAACAGCACTCCTCTCTCTTTCCCCTTGTCTGTCTCTGGCTGAAAAATATGCAGGACCATTTGCCAGGGTTAATTTTTAATAGTGTCCTCAGTGCTGCAGTGAATGAAGTCATTTATTACAGCAAGCAGCACGCTAGGCAATAACAAATGCTAAAGAAGGTGACTCAGGAGCAAGAGCTTTCTGCTCCCACCTGCGCGACGCCTCGGCGCAGAGGGCTGAGCGGGGCGCTCGGCCTCACCGTACGCAGTCTCAGCTTGCAGGACTCCTGGATGGGAGGCGGGAGGTTCGTTTGCTTTCCATCATGTGCTCCATACACAAACAGAGCCCTGGCACCAGCGGCGTGGCCAGCGCTCCCCTGCGCCTGTCCCGCAGCAGGTTTGGGCTCCTCCCCGGCGGACACGGCTGCTGGGAACGCGCCTGCTCGGCCCCACAGGGCTCCGTGAGCTCAGGCAGATGGAGCGCAGCCTCCCCACCTGCAGGACAGGTTTAAAGGCAGGCCCCTTTCCTCTGGCAAGGCCAGGAGCAGTGCTTCATGCCTGAGACCTTCCGATGAGAGCTGCTCAGTGGCAGAGTGGATTTTAACAGAGCAACCGGGAATCGCAGCTGGGGCAGGCTGGCAGCTCCACCTGGGCATGGAGAGGACCACAGAGGCAGCATCCTTCTCCTCGTTATCCAAGATCCTCCAAAGGCTGGGATGAGAGGGACCAGGAACCAAAGGAGACAGTGCTGTTGGATGTTTAAGTAGAAGACATTTTGATTTTATGGTTGAGGCCACCAAAGCAGCCCATGAATCCTCCCCATAGTCTGCAGGAGCCTTTGGATCCAGCCGCAGTGAGCCAGCAGGAACGTGCTGCCCAACATGCTCCAACAGGTTCACTGGCATGTGCTGATCACTGCAGGAGAGCTAAGTATAACCTGCTGTAAGTGTGCTCCACAAAAGAGGAACATCCTTACAAGAAAGGCAGAAGCTTCCTGCTCAGTCCTCACTCCCACCACACTAAGCACATGCTCCCTGAAACACACCAGTCCCCTAAAATCAGGGAGCAAAGCATTCCCGAGTCCATTCCTTCCTCCACGCACTGTCACACACAAGTTACAGAGGGTATTATATTACTCTTTATTCACTTTGGGATCATGTAAGTCCCAAATCCTATTGCCAGTAAGCCCTGGTGATTAAACAGCTTAAAGAAAGGAAGCAATAGCTAACACCTTTGGCTCTTATCAGAGCACATTGCTAATGAATACTGGAAAATCACTCAGCAGGAACACCACATCTGTAGAGGAACATTTGCTTACTCATGTTTTCATAGGCAGTGGCTACAGTTCAATCAATGACCTGGAGCAACATTTCTGATCAGTGTTTCAGTACATCAGTGTTGGTATTTGCCCAATTACACTGTCTGGAAGTGCAAAAAGCAAAGCCTGAGACCAGAGGGGAAGCCTGTAATGTGGCATGGGTATCTTACCAGGAGGTCTGACTTCAGAAATCATCTGGCTCTGGAGACCATCAGCCAGCTCCTCAGTGATGCACACACACTTACATCACCCCTGGAAAAAAGCACAGGTCTCCAGAAACAGGCAATGGTCCCGCCTCGGCCCTGCAACGTGCAGCAGCAGCTCCTCTCCTGCATCCCACCTTCCCAAGAGATGGGGGGAAAGGGGCTGAATGCAGACAGAGTGCCAGGTGGGCCATCCTTTCCTGCTTCAGCTTCAGACCACAGCTGTGTTTCTTGAAAAGACCTTTGGTAAGGATTGGGGAGAGCTGCCAGCAAGAAAGATCCATGCAAAACAGATGTTGAAGAGATCTGGAGATCAACTAAGCCATCTCCTCTGAAGGCAAGATCTCTACTCCCACGCTGTTCCTGCAGGTGACTGCATGGGGAGACTGTGCTCACCACGGGGCAGTGCTGGGTGAGGGTCTCCAGCACCGGGCTTTCAGAACAGCCTAGCTAAGCTAAGCTTGTGCCTGCCTAGGCTAAACATACAGGAGCTCCTCGGATGCCCAGCCTGATCCCGGCTTGCTGCGAGCACACTGCTGCCAGCACAAGCCTACAGGGACCGGCATCACTCAGGGCTCTGGCTCCGAGAGCGGGCAGATGGGCTGCAGGACTGCAGGCAACACGAAGGCTGAGGTCACCAACAGACATTGCTGCTACAGCGGCACAGGAGAGATACATTTTTGGTGACTCCTGCAGAGGAATGAGGGAGGAGCTGGAATCCTGCAGATTGAGGCTCAGAAAGAGGCTGGCATGCTGGAAAGCCACAGGGTACAGCAGAAAGGGACTAGAAGAGCCAGTGTCAGCTTCATGAGGGCTGTACACAGGACTAGCAGATGCATGAAAGGCCCCAGAGTCCTGGGGCAGGTGGTTACAGCGGGTGGCTGGGTGCCAACCTCCTCTCTTGTCTATGGGGCAGCTACTGCAAGCGATTACTTTGCATCAGCCTTACCCAGTTTGCAAAGGTGGGAACCAAGGCTCAAGGCAGCTCCTTGGTGAAAGAGAAAGAGGATTTAACAAAGGACTTGACAGAAGAGGAACAAAGGATCAGCAGCTCGAGTTTGATGAGGAAGAGGGATGCGTGGCAGGGGTAGAGACAACATGCATCCAGCACATTAAAAAGCTATCAGATGAAAAGAAACCAGTAGTTTTACTGGATAAACACAAATGTCTTTAATTCTATCTAATTCTACCATGTGTGTATGCTTGAATCCTGCTGTGTAGCACTGCTTTGAAATTTCTGAGAGAGACAGATGTATTTAACAATGGTTCCTCAGTGCTGGGGATGGTGGTTTGGGAGCAAGAAGATTCCTTTTAAAAAAGAGTAAGACTAATCTTAGTGTCTCCTCCAGGAGAAAAATGAGGGATGGTCTGAGATTTAAGTACAAAGTCAGAGAAGCCTTGAACTACACAGAGATAAATGTGTTGCACATCAGTGAATGCCAAAATGACACAGACAGCAAGACATCCCTTTGCACCTCATCTGGTTTCCACACGTTGAAATCTAGTTCCTGACAGCAAATGGGATACAGAGCAAGGTAAGTGACCTGAACCATCCCATAAAGGCACGGCCAGCAGGCAAGCTGCAAAGTACTCAAACTTTCCCGTAGCATTTGCAAGCTGAAATTACACAGGACAAAATATTGTGAGAGCTTGTTAATGAAAAACAAGACTTTCTACTTCCCCAGGCCTGAGTTACTGCTGTCTGCAGATGAAGCAAAAAGCCTCCCTCTGAGGGCAGCGATCCGAAGATCTGGGGAATGACTGACATCCATTTCAAGCTGATAGCCCCCTCAGCTCGGCTAAGAGCTCCCACACACACACACACACACACCAAACTGCTGCCAGGAAAGTCACTGTGGACCCTACCCTGTGGATCCCCGCATTACCAGACCTCCTACCTCATCCCATCCCAGCAGTCTCAATGGAGAGGTCTGCAGAAGCAGACACAGGACGTTTGTCAGGACCGGTCACTCTGGCCCAGATGGAGCTTTTCTATGCTTGGATCTCTGCATACAAGCATCCAAGTTTCTCCAGTTCCAGAGCCTAGGTGTGATCTGCAAAAAAAAAAAAAAAAAAAAAAGCACAGGTTTAAAACAACCACACACACGCACAGGACTAAATCGGGTCCTTTCTGCAGAGGGCAGTGTTTTTCAGAGCAGGCTGTGACTGGTAAGCAATTGTGGAAAGAGGTGGCTCCTAAACAGTGTCAGAGATGTAATCTATATATCCTCTCTCTGGGGTCCCCTCACCAGAAGCTGGAATCCACCACATGCCACCACACAGGTCAGCAGTATCTTGTATTTTTAAACCGCGGAACAGAGCTCCTTCCATTTCCAAGGTCAGACTACAAAGCCCTTCCCCTCTGCAATACCAGAGCATCCCAGGGCTTCAAGTTTCCATTTTCAGTTTCTAGCTGATCAACTCCAACCACTAGCAGGCTGCTGAGGTCAACAGAAACCCTCCCTATTTCTACCTTTGTCCAGGTAGAAGACCCAGCTCACCAGGCTCTGCCCAAATTCTCTTTCAAACCCATGATTTTGCTGGGCCCACACAACGTTCTTCAGAAAGACTCTTCGGCAGATTGAGTTAAATTATTGTTGAACAGTTTTTGCTTGCATTATTCCCCCTTCTAAATCAATGACTTCATCTAGTGGTTTCTTAGTACTGCAGAAAATTCACATGTTCTCCACAGTATCTTTATACTCAGTTATTTACAGTACAGCAGTTAATGGCCAGGAGCAAACTAAGCCCTGCATCTCTACACAGACTTACCTGTTACCCCAAGATCCTCTCCCAAAGGCTGCTTTCCAAGTAGTGCCCTTGTTAGGGCTTGTGATGTAGCAATATTTTCTCTATAGCCTCACCAGGAATTTAGGAGAAGGCAGCCCACTAATCACCACAGTTTTATCTTATTTCAGCTAAAGCAGACACAGAGGACTGCCTAGCACGTCTCAAGCCCAACCGCTTATTACCATATCAACAGCTTAAACTTTAACTGGGAGGGAATGTTTCTGTAAGGAGAGGGGCATACGATTCATTCCATCACACAACTGGGTTAGCACAGCTTGCAGGTCACACTAAGGGTCCAGGAATTAAGAAAATTCTTTTTTTTTTCTTTCACCTTACAAGAGCATCCTTAGGCACAAAGCAAGCACTTCAGATCCCCAAGATTTACAAGCTTGCCTAAGAGGTAGTATCTATGTTGAGCACAGGAGAAGTCCATCAGACTCCGACTCCTCACACATATAACAGCCTGCAAAGCCACCCTCTCCCCAGCCAGAAACACTGGATTTTTCATCTCCTCCTACAGTGATAGTTCCTGGGGTAGTTCCTCTCCATCCATAACCAGTTCCCTTTGCCAAGTCTCAGCTGTCTCTGTGAAGAAACCATAAACCAATAAGTGACCTTCCTGGATACATCCTTAGTTAGGATACATCCTGCCATCCTCTACCCAAACTTACTCCCAAACTGTCCCAAATCTGCAAAGCAGCATTTTCCCTTAAAAAATAATGGGAAAAATAACCCAAAATGGAGGCTGTTGGAGTCCGAGCCAAACTCATTTCAGTAGAAGCTGGTTCATCCTTACTGGCATCTACAGAGATGCATCAGCTCAGCGCAGAAGCGGACTTGGCCCCGCATTTCCAAGAACCCCGTCCTGTTCCAGTTCTCCTGAACATTTCCTCCTTTCCTCCTGACTGCACTTTGGAGCCAGTCCCAGCGCTGGCCAGGCTGTCAAGGCAGCCGACGTGCCCCGGATCCAGCGGGAAGCTCCGCTGACAGGTTCTGCCGGCCGGTTGGCGCAGGGAGGGCGCGTGTGGCTGCTCCCTCCCCACGGAGCATCCCGCGACGGCCCTTTTCCTCCCCCCGCAAAGCTGCAGCCACAGCGAGCGAGCGGCGTTGCACTGTTACACACAGAGGGAAGCAAATCTGCATTCAATACAAAACAAGATATATTTTTTTTTAAACTTGACCTCCTACCAGTTTGAGTTCTGCCATGACACAACTTGGAGAGGCAGGCAAGACAAACGTGCCCGTGGGGCCGGGGCTCCTGCGGGAGGGCCAAGGGCAGGAGCAGCCCCCTCACAGGGAATGGCACGGGGGAGGACAGCGCGACGCTCTCCGTGGGGCAGCCTTCCTCCACGTGCTCTCCCGGACGGCGTTCGGAGCAGCATGCAGATGCGGCCTCCCCTCCATGCACTGCCCCAACACACCCAGCACAGAAAGGAGAAACACATCCATGAGAAAGGGGTGAGCTCAGAGCCACGGGAGCAGCAGGAAGCCACCTGCACAAGGAGAACAAAGTTGGGGTAAGTGCAGGTAGGACGCAGCAGCAGCCACGAGCAGCACCTAAACTGCAACAAACACCCCCTGCAAACGAGCAGGGAGCAGAGGCAGCTCCAGGCTGGCCCCGAGTATACAACCTCATGTCCCAGAAGGAGACTGGCCTCATTTAAATGGGCATAAACTCAGCTTATGCAAGTTGCTATGCCAGTGCTTCTCTTGGCGTGGACTGACAGGCCCAAGAGACAGGCAGCGTTCGAATACCCTGTGCATTTAAAAAATTACTATTGCTTACTTTGCGGGTAATGTTGGTAACAAACTTTTTGGGGGCAGGGAAGGAGAAGAATACATTGAATAGTTTAATTTGGCTGTCACTGAACCGTTTCCATTAGAAATAGCTCTAAAAAGATCATCCTTCAAAGAGCTTTTGGGCCCCCCTTGATCCACGGGGGATTAGCAGGGCCGGCTGTGGAGCAGCGCGGACACGGAGCCGGTCCCATCAGCGGGCAGGGAACGTGCCAGGCAGCCACAAGGGCCACGGAGGGCGAGCGGCAGCGCTTCCCAGGGCAGCTCCGCGGCCAACGGAGACGCCGCAGGACCAGTCGGCTGAGGGGCACAGCAGCTTCTCATGCCCTGTGCTCAAATGAGGCAGCTCCGTCTGCCCAGATGGGGCAGGATATTTCACCTGCACTAAAAATCAGCTTCAGAGGAAGGACAGAAGAGTCAGGCAGAATGGGATGGCATTTTATGAAAAAGCCAGGCCGTGTCCTCGGCAAACACGAGTTTGCTGTGTCCTTTGCGGAAACCAATGGAGCTGTGATGTTCTGCACCAGCTGAGGAGCTCATCCCAATGTCCTCCAGCCTTTTATCAGGAGGGAGGCACAGGGATCTTTGAGTGATCTCACACCCTGTCCTCCCGCTCCTGTGTCATCCTCCCGGTGTGATGACTCACAAGTAGACAACTGCACCTCCGGCAGCGGTCTGCAAACAAGACACAGTCCTCAGGTGTCTTAATTCCCACTGGGATCAGGCGCCAAGGAGGGAGCAGAGGCAGGTTCAGTCCCATCATCTGCCCTCCTGGTTCTTGCAGGTCAGCATTGAGCCAAGCAGCACAAAGGAAGGTTTGTCTGTGTCTGTGTGCACTAGTGCTACGTATTTGTTTTGCGCTCCGTGACCAGCTCTTCTGGGTCACCGAAGCATTGGGAAAACCCACCCCGGTCCCGCTTTCAGGGTGCGTGGAAATACAGCGTTCCTGCATGGTCCAGGACGGCCGGTTAAGTGGAGACAGGACGAGGCAGCGCACGTGGCGCGTGTGCCTGCAGGGCCCGGCAATGGCTCCCATGCCGGGAGCGATGCCGCGTGGTCGGATCCCCACGGGTGCCCCACGCCATGAGGGCGCTGCGGGAGCCGGCCGGCGCTGCTGGGGTAGGTCAGCCCTGCACCCGGGGCTCCAGACATCGCGACGTGGCACCGCGGGACCTCGGCAACCCGCCGGCACCCTCACAGACTGCCGCTCGTGTCGGGGCTCAGCCACGAGCGCTGCAGGGCACCAGCTTCCCCATTACACATAGCGCCGAGCCAGCACCTGCAACACCAGTTTGTAACCCTCTTCTCAGCGCCTAAGCTACCTTTTTCATGGAAAGAAGCTGCCCCAGCACTTTGGCTCCGCAGGGCGCTGAGCCCTGGTCCAGCCGCACTCTGGGGACTCCCCGAGCTCCCGCAGTGACGGGGACGACACCGGTGCCCGCACCAGCCCAGCCAGCCCTGCTTTGGCCACGGCCTCCAGGTAGCGCGGGCCCGTCCGCATTCCCGGGCATCGCCCGGAAAGAGCGCGCGGTTTCCGCGCTCCCTCAATAACCACCACGGGCCACCCGGCGGCTCCCCGTGCCCCGGGCAGGCAGCCGCCCTCGCCCCCGCCGCCGTTCGCGGGGCTTGGTGGGCGCGGGGCCGCCGTGGGGCCGGGGCGGCGGCGCGGGC